TTGGTAAACTTTCTATAAAGATCAAGTTTTGCCATGCTTTTCCGCATCTGCAGTTAAGAGTGACAAAATAATCAATAACTGAATGAAATAATTACACGAACTACAGTAATAAAGTCAAATACGTCTCGTGTTAAAAAGTTTAGATTAAGAAATAGATTAACTAAATTAATTATATCAAGAAGGTTGTGTACTCTCTTCTCTTCTGTTATTGTTTACCCCTTACTCTTTAGCATTTCTTGTAAGCTAAATCCTATCTTGTGCGCCAAGATGTAATATGTTCATATTTTAACATTATGACAAAATCAACAAATATGGAAAGAATGAACACATACACACACATATAAATGTATAATTACTTTTTTTTAAGATATGGAGAGAATATATAATAACATATTTGCAGAAACATGCATATATCTATTTGGATAAAACGAGAAAGAAGACTTGACGCACAAAAGGGTTCAAAGCCTATATGATGACCAAGTCATTTGTAGATTGTCTGGGTGAAAAATGCACACAGTTACAACTATCATAATCCCATCCAAACTGCTAAATCCAAAAGAACTGACAGAATTGCGCCAACACTCACATTTGCACGGTTTGGTAAGATCATACAAGCAATGGAAATCATCATTTTACTCCAAACATCTACCTGTAATTTTTCCAATGTCTTGGATAATGATGAGAATATCCACAAAATAACCGACGCATCCAAGAAAACAACAGGAAGCACCAGATATATCTTGGTTTTCCTTGAGAAGTCATTGATGCTGCCCAAATGCTCCACAAGTTCAAGTGCCCCAGTGGCAATAAAATACATTAGGCATAAAAGATACACTTTTGAGGTTACGCCACCAAGCGTAGGCCGAACAACACCATAACCCATTGAAACGACTAAAAGAAGTGCACGAGACAACGTCTTCTTTACAGCAGTCATTGTGACTGCCCATATCGTAATTACCATAGGTCTGCTTCCTGTGGCATTAAGATTTGCATATTCAAAATACCAGAGAGCCATTTCAGACATGCCAAGGGCAATGACAGCAGTAATCTGATAATGTAGCTGTATAACATCCTTCCAAAACTGGACAAACTTCAGGAACCAGAATAGACCAAGTACAAGATAGGCTAAAGAAGCAAGTCCGTAGAAAGTCATCAACGGTACCATTCTCCCTGGTAAGTATCCATCTGGATTTTTCCAAACTGTTCTTCCTCTGATTATTGTTCCCTTAAGTGCTGGGTCACAAAACATGAAATAAAGATAGTACATCCCAGTACTATTTATTTCAACTGTTGCGGGAAGCATATTAGCTTCCTGATTCTTTCCTTCAAAATACGTCTGAATACGTAGTGGCCACAGTGGGTTGTCTTGGTTGTGCTGGATCATAACCTCTCCTACCGTGCAGAACTTTTCTTGAGCAAGTTTTGGAGTACAACACAGTGCATTAGACTTTGCAAAAGCACCTCCAATCTTTTCTCTGTCTCTGACCTCAAGAATGATAGTTTCAATCAAACCAGTTCGACTCTGCATCTCATTTGTTGCATCAGCAGATTCCTTTGTCCTCAAAAAAACAATATCTTCAAATCTGCAAAGCTAAAATCAACCGTGAGGTATGAATCTCAAGGTCCATAGAAGATTATTGAAATAAACGAACCAGAAAGAATATGCTAGTATATAAAAATCTCAAAATAAAATTACTACCCAGCTAAGAAGCAAGAAATTTATCAAAGAAGCTATTAAAGAAACCATAAAACTTCTTAGTGAGTATGTTAAACACGATAGAGTAGCTCAGGCTCCGCGAAATGTGTTTTTCGAGAGAAGTGAAGTAAACTTAAACAGTAAAAAGAAGATGTTTTCCCATTACCAGCATTTGTATGAGCATCACAGTGATCAAACAATTGCACCATTTAATCTTTAATATGTTAAACATAATACATGCAGACACTCATATAATGGTAAATACTAAATACTACTCTTTCTGTCCCATTTCACGTAGCACACTTTCCTTTTTAGTTTGTCCCAAAAAGAATGGTACATTTTCATATTTAGAAATAATTTAACTTTAAAATTAAAATGACCCTTAATGAAATGATTTGTAAGACATATCCTAAATTTATCCATGGCTAATCTTGGAGCCAAAGCATACTAGCTTGGAGCCAAAGAATAAAAGTATTTTCTTTTATTCTTTTTTTCTTTACTTGGAGACCAAGAACATTGCCCTATAAATATAGGCCATCTTACTTCATTTGAATCATCCCATATTTTGATTAGAAACTCATTTTGAGTATTCTTGTGA